AATGTCATCAAAACAAAGCCACATCCGATATCTTTAAGGAACAAGAAGCCGAGAAGAAAAGAAAGTACCAACAGAGAATCTTAGACGTGGAAATGGGAACATTTACGCCTTTAGTCTTTGGAACGAATGGAGGAGTTGGAGACGAATGCCAGAAATTCTTAAAGCATCTTGCCGAGAAATTGTCGAGGAAAAACGGAGAAGATTACGCAACAGTTATTACTTGGATCAGAACAAGATTGTCTTTCGAAATATTGAAATCAGTGCATTTGTGCACGAGAGGATCTAGATCGCCATTTCGTGCGAAAGATGAACATATAGACGAGTTCAAATTAAACTCTGTTACAGCAGAGGTTTTTTAAGCAATTGCGCAATTTAAAGGCGTTAACGCTGGACTTGTACATTTTATGAATTACGTTCCAAATTATGAATTATCAAGAACTATTTTTAGATCTTTTAACTGCAATGAGTTTTAAATGTAAAATGTTCCGAAATTAACTTTTTCTTTTGTATTATTAGATGTTATACTGTAAAATTCTACAATATTGTTAAAAATTATACTTCACTCAAGTTTACTTACAAAAAATGTATAACTGCACCACAACCTAAAACATGCAGGGGTAGAGTAGAGTACTCGAAAATGAGAAGAGGGTACAGTATATGAATGACCTGTAACCTTGGGGGGTTCAAAATTTGGTTTAAAATTTGAACCTCGCCGGAAATGCTATTTCCTGCGTTTTCGGCCATGGATTCGTCCACGACAACTTTGCTGTACTAAGCCTAAGGAACACTTACTGTTCCTTTTTTTAAACAAGGGAAAATCACAAAACGAGCTTTGATTAATATGTAATAAAACAAGATTTCAATACCGGCAACAAAATATAGCTCCGTAGCTTTTCAATCGTTCATACAGATAGCTTGTTGGGGATCGGGTTTCATCCTCTTCAGAAATTGGTTAACTCTCTAAACTGCATTTTCACATTAAAATCATCGTATATACAGTACGTTCAACTTGCATCCTGCAGATGGGCCTTTCAAGCTTTAATAGTTTGGAGCTATGTTATTAAAAAAGCGCACACAGACTCAACCATCCAAAAATACTTTTTCCGTACGTACATATTAGATATGTATAAATAACTTATAAACTTGTACACATCTTAGGCCCATGCAGATTTTCTAAGTATGTTAGATGCTCTAAAGGCGGTAGAATCCCTGTGATGTTGTCCACTGTTCACCACGTGTTCTTTTAAGCAAATGTGCCTGCTCAAAAATGCAAAATCTGTGGACACAATACTGAAGTGAAGAGCGTCAGTAGATTTAGTAGGAATTTTTTTGAGCACTCTCTTTTACATGATATTTTTTCTCGATTGTATGCTGCATGATTATTTTTCTTTCTCCTTCGGTTGCAGGAATTTTTTTTTCGAAATCCCCCCCCAAAAGTCAAATGGTCCGCCCCTTAATGGAACTCTTTCGTCCTGTTGCTTGAGCTATTAATGTATTTTTTATTCTAGTGAAAAGAATGAACTGTATAACATTTCTCACACAAACTTTTTGTCTTTGATATTCTAGGCTACAGCTTGACAATTGATCATGTCAAATCAAACAATTCTGTCTCTTCAATTTTGGAATGTGGACATTTTTGTTTAACAGAAAAATGTTCAGGATTTAATTATAAATCTAGAACGAAAAAGGCGGAAATTAATTGTCAACTTACATGCCTCCCGACTTCCTCTAGTGTCATGACTAAGGATGAATCATGGGATTTTTATCAAGTCAAAGATGTTTCTGAGTATCAGGTATATCATTAACCCCTGCAGTCATTTGTAGGGAAACGGTTTGATCGATTTTTTTCGAACTATCCATCGGCCGCAGGCAGAATCCATACAGATACTTAGGGAAGAGGCTAAATAATTCCCTCATTGCCTGGTACTTTACGCAGGGACGCCAAAGCCACGGGAGCAGCATCGCCCTTTGTCCCACTAAGTGCGGGGGAAGCACGCGAGGGCATCACGTTGCCACAAGAACTGCACTTCGAAACTTCTAATCCATTTAGCTTGAATTTTAACCAGTTTTGGTAAAAGAAACCTGGAGTATAGCATGATAAATCCGTGTTCAAGAACACGCGAAAGACCATGATAGCTGGCATTGAAAAAGAGAAAGAGAGCCACACCTGTCTATGCCCATAGGCGTACGGGAAGGAAAAAATTAGGGGGGCGGAAAGATATTTGCCCGACCTTTTCGGATTGTGCCCGACCAGTGCCGAAAAATTTTTTCTCCGGAACAATTGATTTTGGCAACCTCCCCGGCGCCAAAACAATTTCGGTCAGTGTACCATTTTAGGGGTCCAAAAATTTTTCGGACATACCTAAATTTTTCCGAACATCAAACAAATTTTCCCAAACATCGAAAAATTGACATAATTTCCCACAAAATTGACATAATTTGTCCCATTAATTTTTATAATTACCAAATATTGCCCGACTGTGAAGTGAATATTGCCCAACTGGCTTTGTTTGCCCAACAAACTGGGGTTATTATTAAGATAGATTTTCTTGCTTTGACTACTTTTTGCCCGACTTTTCGACTTTGTAATCTTTGTAATCTATGTCTACGCCCGAATTGCATGCACTTGTTGAGTAGGGATAAAACACGGATACCGATGGCACGGATACGTATGGGGGATAAACACGGATGAGGGAATAAAACACGGATGGGGGGATAAATGTACCTGTGCGCCCATTCAATAAGAACGAAAATTTTGAATACCTGTTGATAGATAGATAGATAGATAGATTATTTAATAAGATTTTACATTGCAGCCCAAAAAAGCTGAATTGCGTAAAATTTACAAAACATATTAATTAACTGTAGATAAACTGTAGGTTATATAAAGTCTATAAACACATGCATATACATATAAACACATACAAATACTAACAGTACACATATTTTCATACATATACATTACGATCTTTAAGGTTCAAGTTCGACTTATGTTATGAAAACAATTCATGGCAAACCTATTTCTTTAAATTATTTGACATTGCGGAAATATAAGAGTTTCTAAAACGATTGGTTTGTATAGTAGGACAATCAAACGCACGTTCTCTCCTCAGGTTGTAAGTGAGATTGTGTTTGGGTGGCAGTAGTTGATAAAGCTTGTGGTCTGAGTTGTATACTATTGTCTTGAAAAGTTTTTCACACAGTTTCTGACGCCTGTCTTGGAAAGAACTAATATTATGCTTGTTAAGATTGTTCGTAATAAGATGACCCAGGAGATATAATTGAAAGCGCTCGCTTTTGAATGCGTTGAAGATCGTTACTTCAAAAACTCATTAATAATTCATGAAGCAATTATCCAATCTTCAGTAAGAAATTAGTCACGTGCATACGTCTTTATACCAGCTAAAGAACACATTAACAAAAGACCATTGTTATGCAAACTATATAAAGATTTTTATATAAAGATTTTTATATAAAGATTTTTATATAAAGATTTTTATATAAAGATTTTTATATAAAGATTTTTATATAAAGATTTTTATATAAAGATTTTTATATAAAGATTTGACTTATTGTGCAAACGTTTTTGAAGCCATTTAAAAAACTCGCAGGTCGTGTTTTATTAACACCGCGGAAAAACGTCTGCGCATGCACCAAATTATGAAAATATGGCGGGGAATTTGAATATCAATTTCTAAAACAAAAGCGTGCTTATTAATTGGTCAAAAATTAGTAAAACAAACGAGAAAATATAGCAAATGGGTAGACTAGACATTAACTGAAAGCGTCCTGGCATTTAAAGTATGGAATGAAATATAATTCATGTAAAAAATTGTTGATTTTAACGAACACGACTTCGAAAATTTTTGCAAAATTATTCAAAACAAAAATTCAAACTAAAAAGTTAAGAAAACTCTCGAAAAGTTAAGCTTCTTAACCCACTCAAATTGTAGAATAAATCCTAAAGTTTAATTATTGTGAACATGAAAATTTTTTATATTTGGCGACACAGTTTTTTTTAAAGAAATGTATCTCAAACGAAAATTCGGAAATTGTCGTTGCTTAGTTGATAAACAAAATGTTTCAGACAATAAATTTGTCAACAATCACCTTTAGTTCATGTTCTTGTACAATACAATTTCTTGAACCTTCTGGCTGTATTTATTCCTAGTTTTTAGAATGACATGTTTATTTTTGCGCTCGAAATCTGGCTGTAAAGACGCACAATGAAGTCACTCCTTTTTACCGCCATTTTGAGCCTTCGGAAACGTTCGGAACAGCTTCTCATCAAGTTCGCAATACTATTACAGGTACGGTTGACGCATGCGCAGACGTTTTTCCGCGGTGTTTGTTTTATTAGGTCTAAAGCCACTCGCGCTGCGCGCTCGTGGCTTTAAACCTAATAAAACACTCCTGCTCGTTTTTTAAATAGTACATAAATATGCAGGTAATGAGTGGTGGAATACAGGTGCACAATACTCGAGAACTGGTCTGATGCAAGTACAATAAAATTTTAAGATATGGTCAGCAGGAATGTTTGCACGCCTAAACAAAATTAGGAAATACAAACGTTTATTAGCTTTCTTCACGACATAGTTGACATGGTCAATCCATTCCAGTGAGTTAGACACCATAACACCCAATATCTTGGCACTGCTGACTAGCTCGAGTTCTTTGGACTTGATGATGATGGTCTTAAGCTGATGTTTCACTTTCTTAAAGTCAACTATCATTTCCCTACAAGAGAAATGGAGTAAAAACAAGAGCTCCAGTTGAAGCAATCGTTGGACAGTTTGACGCGTTGCAGCCTGTTCGATAAAAAGTCGCATACCCAGCGAACTACACTGCGTGGAACATTCAGGGAAAGGATCTTTTTAACTAGGATCCAGTGATCGATGAGATCAAATGCCTTCCTGTAGTCTAGCAACACCATCCTTACCGCTGCACCTGTCCCGTCAGTGGCAGAAGCCCATGTATGAATCATGGAAATAAGGGCATGCGTAGTAGATGATTTTGGGATAGCGCCATATTGGTTGGGATCAATGATCTCAAGGACGGCAGGGCCAATATAATATCTTACGATAAAGTCCTCAGCTAGTTTTGATAGAGACGGAGTTAGCGAGATAGGTCTGATGTGCTTGGTAATTACAGTCACAGGTTTCGTCTTTGGTAGCGGTGACACATTGGCGTACTTCCATGACAGAGGGAGGGATTGTTCAGCAAATGAACTGTTCAGGATAACACAGGCTGGGTTCGCGAGAAACTCGGCATAATCTTTAAGGAGCCAGTTCGGCACGCCGTCTGGACCAGAGGCTTTTCGAGGATTTAGCCTTACTAATGCTGAGTAAACTAAAGACTCATCAAGAGTTAGAACTTCCGAATCATTATCAACGGGAGGAAGACTGTCAAGTGATTGATATTCCTGCATCGGTTCTAGAAGGGCAGTATTTATAAGGTTGGCAATATCCTTATTTGACTTTCCATCAAGTCCATCAACATGTAATTGGGCGCGAATATCCTCGGTTGGCGTCGCTGGGATCATTCCCGATAACTTTTTTACTTTTTAATCTCGTTCCACCACTGACTTGGCTTAATATTCATGAGGTTCGCAATCCTCGAGGTGTAACATTTGCTTCGTAGTACTTTGCGTTCACGGTTAACGAGGTTGCGAAGTTGGCGGAATCGTTCTTGTTCTCCTTGTTTATAGGCTTTCTGGCGTAACTTGATGAGCTTTTTGAATTCGGGAGTTACCCAAGGAGGATCGTTAACATGTAATTTAAAAGACTTGAGTGGCATAATAGTGTCTACGCCAATTTTAACAAGGTCAAGAAACAGTGTTAGTTTGTCATCGCATTTATTAACAACTGAACTGAGGACGATAAGGCAAGGATTCAGTTTATTTACTTGATACTTTTGAGACTATATACAAAATTTACTGAGGAGTGAGGAAGCTCGAGAAACAAGACACTCAACACATATTAGTTGCTTGTACTAGGAGTTTGCGTTTGAACTTTAACACCCGCTGTTTATGCGGAGGAATGTACTTTTTAGTTTAATCACTTGCCACACTTTCTAATAACGTTATATTCTCAACTTATGTCGCTCTGCAGTAAATTCTACGCCGTAACACGCCAGCAGATTAGAAGACGAGTTTTATACGGTGCGGATTTATCATTTGTGTTTACATTTTTTCTTATATAATGATTTTTTTCACAACTGTAATGTTTACCTTATAACAAGCGAATAAGAATATCAAATACATATCAACAAAAAATCAGTAATGAATTACTGGCAATTTCAACTTGTAAACATAGAAACGTTTTGCGGCCATTATTTATACGTCTAAGTACACGCACGGAAAACTCAAATCCTTCAATTAATGTGTGATTCCAGCAGATTTCCAGGTATGGACGAAATTTTGATCTAGACAAGGAGAACGAAATCCAACACCACACCTAGAAAGGAGAATCTTAAAATGAGTAAAATTGCAAGGTTTGGTTGCAAAATATTGTAAAATGAGGAAAATATTGCCCTGTGAAGTTCGCAAATTTTGTATATATTTGTATTACGCGCGATAAAAATAACCACTTTCCGCTCAAAAAAATTAGAAAGTGTGGCAAGTGATAAAACTAAAAAGTGTTTTCTTTATACCGCTTAAACAGCGGGCGTTAATCAGACACGCAAAAGGTTCAAACGTAAACTTCTAGTACAAGCAACTAATATGTGTTGAGTGTCTTGTTTCTCGACTTCCGTCAGTAAATTTTGTATTCTCAAAAGTATCAAGTAAATTAACTGAATCCTTCCTTATCTTCCTCCGTTTAACACTGGTACTTAAAAATTTCGTACTTATTGAATGCGCGCACACGTACGTTTATGCCCCATCCGTGTTTCATCCTCCCATCCGTATTTTATCCCTCCATCCGTGTTTTATCCCACCATCCATGTTTTATCCCTCATCCGTGTTTTATCCCCTCATCCGTGTTTTATCCCCCCATCCGTGTTTTATCCCCCCATCCGTGTTTTATCCCTCATCCATGTTTTATTCCCCCATCCGTGTTTTATCCCCTCATCCGTGTTTTATCCCCCCATCCGTGTTTTATCCCCTCATCCGGGATGAAAATTTCAACCCGGGCTGAAATTCAGCCCGGGTTGAATTTTTTTCCATGTAATCGTAAATTTCATTTTATATTGAACTTATATGGGCCCCAGGCTGAAATTTCATCCCGGTTTGCCGGGCTGAAATTTCATCCCGGGCTGAAAACCTCCATGTAATTGGCTCCTTAGTGATTTTGGTGGTATACGTTTTCGATGTGAACAAGAAAAAATTTCGATACATCTGGCACATAACTTGCATGTAATAACTCTCTGTTCGTTATTATTATTCTGTCTGGGGTGGGCGGGTTAATCACTTTTTAATGACTCTGTAATATGCACATATCGACCAATAACAACGGCGTTGACAACCATTTTAACTTGAACTTAGAAACTGTTTTGTTCTAATAGTAATATGTCTCGATTTTTATTTCTGCTCGGAAATTTATTACTCCTTTAGGAGCTACGAAATTCATTAAAAGTAATAAAACAAATTTCGATTGCGTGTTGAAAATAAATTGCCGTATACTTATAAATAAAACGCTCGCGAAATTTATACCGACGCTTAGCTATTGTCATTAGATGGTATGGGGACGCGAAAAATTGTTGAAATCAGCAAAAATGTTGACTCACTGTTACGCCCAAACCGCCTTGGGTTACGTCATATACCTAGTAAGTCCCCCATGGCCCCACTACCCCTCCACCGCCCCATTCTTGCTCATTCTCATTTACTGAATATTTAATTTGCCCACTCTCATTTTTCTGAATAATTAATTTGCTCACTCTCATTTACTGAATATTAATTACCTCCGCCTCAAAAAATCCGGGTCGAAACCACCTATACTACTACTGACAACGAATTATTAGTTGCAATCCGCAGTGTCATGAAACTAGAAAAAACTGGTTTATCATCGTTTATAGTATGGAAGAAAAGAGATGCCCGGAAAATCTTGTCGTGATATTTCAGCAAGAAAATGTGTTGGCGATGGAATTTATTGGATTTCCTTAAACTCAAGTAAGAAATAGCAGAGCCTTTCATAACATAGTTTATCAATTTGTAACTTTATCGCATCCGTAGAAGTAGAATTTAGTGATTTAATTATTTCTCGAAACTACAATCATGCGGAGCGATCATAGAAAAGCGGTCAATTTTTAGCTTAATTAAATAACTTTTAACATCGAGAAAAATGAAGACAATTAGCCTTTCTCACGATGACGAATACCCGCCATTTTTGGGTGGCATCCAATTCTCGTTAACCAATGCAGACAATTAAAACAATGTGAAAAGCAATATTTCAAAATAAACTAACCATTTACAAAGCAAACTTACCATAATTTGTCAAAAGAATTATAAAAAGTCGCTGTTATGTGGACTTATCTCGCAGACCTCGGCTGAAATGCCACCCAAAAATGGCGGCGTGAGAAAGGCTAATTTGTTGCGCCCGTTATCTGGCCATGCAAAGACATTATTAGGAATGAAGTGACATAATACTTGAGCTTACTTCATCTTGCAGCAGCTTCTACAGCATTTCCAGTATTCTGTGATATGAAAAATGGAGGTAAGACTTCACATAGAATTCTAGAATTTCGTAGATTCTAAGAAATCTCATAAAATTGAAGATTTCTATAAGCAGGACAGACTTAAGGTAAAATAGTCTACATTCATAGACAAATTTGGCTAACGTTGTTTACATCGTTGCTACCCAATTCCCAACTTTAGATACTCACATGCCTAGTTACTATTGTTCTAGTTTACAGAAACATAAAATAGGACAAAGGTAACTAAGCATTAGAATTATGTATAAGAGTTATTTACTCATGCACAGATAATTCTGAAGCATAAAATTATCTATATATGCTTCTGTAAAGCAGAACAAATTAGCTAGGCATGTGAGGGACCTACCAAAAGTTGTAAATTGTGCATAAACAAACGTTAGCCAAATTTGTCAATTACTCCCAAACACTTAACATTCTAACATGGGGGAAAATAGACAAAACGTTCAACATAGAACAAGTTTTAGCATTTCCATAGAACGCATGAGCCGGAAACAATTTCCTTTTTCAGGGCGCGGGATCCAACAATTTGTACTGAAAATTATTAGTGTTTTATTAACTTTCTATTCCTCAGGTTGGACCCTAATATTCAAGGGCATTGCGGGTGTGCCTGGAATTGTGTCAGATATCTGGCAAAGTCCGTCTACATTTAACGAAAATTCACTGAAAGCTTTGAATATTGAGAACTGTTTTAAAAATCATTACAAAAATAGAATTGTCCAAGAATGGAGTACTTTTAGCCCAACGCAGGTAAAAAGAAAGTATTTATTCCAGCCAAACTATTCATCCTGGCCAAATTATTTTTCCTGGCCAATCTATATTCATGCTGGTCAAACTATTCGTCCTTCCACTGAATACCTCCATGCCAGCTATAATCTATTCTGGGCAGTCTTGGCATCGTCTTTTCTACAGTAGGTTTCAGTCTCTTTCTACAACATTTCGCATGTCATGGGATGGCTTACGGCTTACGAGATGACATGGAGGCTGTAGGGAACTTGTACTGGCCAGTATATATGTTAAAAGAAGCCCTGGCACATCATAACAATTCTTAATTTGTTTAAGGCTCGTATTGTCCTGTATTCTCGCGGTAAAGAAGACGTGGTCTTGACGTTCAGTACACAAAATACAAACAACATGAATTGGTTTACAGAAGCAAATCTTCAAACCTCACCTTGGCAAGATATTCATGAAAAAGTTAACAATTATTTCAGCGTGGTTGGTTATTGTCCTGCAGATAGAGGCTGTCGTGATTTTTATATCAATCACCAACATGGTGGTTGTCCTGGGGATATTGGATGGTTAACCATTGGGAATATATACCAGGGATGTGACTGGGAAAAGAAACATGGAATGACTTCATTTCTCTATAGTAAAAAGACAAGTAATGTCAACTGGAACGTTTACGGTGAGTTTATTTGTTGGCAATAATCTTAAATAAATCTTAAATCTTGATTATCATTAATTCCCTGTCCAGGTTGACGGCTGCGTGTAGGAATACCACAGTATTCGAAATTTACAACTCCAAAACCCTTCAACAATTAGTTCTATCTGTTAATTAATGGCTGATATTTACATATAACAGTTACTGTAAGTCTGTAACCTATTGTTTAAATTTCTTCCAAGCAGAACAAGAAATCCAGCCCGCAGTCTTGATAATAAATATTTGTAATATTTTCAAATGTTGTTTCAGCTGATGTTGGTGCCTCAGAAGTGTTTGCAGTTTATCTTCGTTAGACACAGATGTGCAGTTAGAGAAAAGTCCAGTGGAGACAAAATTCAAACTCAGTCAGTTTTTCTTTAACAAGGCAATTATAGTAGATGTTGCCGAAAGATGTAAAAGTTAAACAACCATGCATGTCCATGCATATGGTTGTTATCGACGAAATAAATTAAAGCCACGTTTACTGTGCTGGCGCCATAATTCATTGCCCCTTCGTAAAAAAAGAAATTTCAAATGTAGCCAGCTTACGCGTGTTTACTCAATGACATACGCCAGAAAACGAATATATACACGATTAATCGCAGCGTGTAAACGTAGCTTAAGAACTTGTCTTTAGGGGCGGACCATTTGATTTTTGATGGGGGAGGGGGTAGAATCCCCAAAAAAATATCGGGCAAGCAATTCGAACTTAAAAAAATATCGTGCAAGAATAAACGGACGAAAAAAAATGTCGAGCAAGGCTTTCGATTGGTAATCCTTATTTGCCATTCGGTGCATTTTCGCGTGTAGCCCAGGGCCGTATGTAGCAACCGAGGGGGCTGCAGGGTCCAGGAAATGGCATTTCAAAGACTCTAAATTTAAAAATTTCCTCGGGCCTTCGGCCCTCGCTTTCAGCCCCCCAATCAAAAAGAGCTTCCTACGGCCCTGTGGCCTAAATAATGGGAGGACCAGTATAATTCCAAAAATGGTTGTTCTTTATTTCTTTACTCCGACTCCTATGATGAACATGAACGTAAAAAAGTAGGAAAACTACGATTAAATCACGGTCGTAGAAACTAAAATAGGTGAAATTGTTATGCAAAGGCAAGGACATAAGAGCGAGAGATTGAAATTGAGTAGGAATAGCGTACAGGGGTATGCGTTTCGACCTAACAGTTTTCTTCAGCAGGGTTTTTTAAGAGGGGGGTGCATGTAGATATAATTTGAAGAGGAGACGGAAGGAGAGTTTATAGGAGTTCGGAAAATAATGTGAGACCAAGAGGAAAACAAATTATTACGAAATAACTGAAAATAACCAATTACACAGTGAAAGGATGTAACTACTATACATGTTATTAGTCAAGTTATCCTACCAAAGGTCTTGTTGTTTGCGGGACATTCCAACACTACGCACTTTATTGTTCATCGTTCGTA